GGGGAATTTGCCTGGCAGCAGCCAAACTGTCCCAGCTGTGTCATCACTAAAATGGGAATAATCTGCCTGATGCCCCCTAAGGCCTGCCAGGGCCATCTCCCCCAACCCTGTGCCCACCACAGGCCCTGTCCCAGCTCTGGGCTCACAGCAAGGACCAGCCTGTCCGAGACCCTGCCCCTGTGCCCCTCAGTGCCACTGCCAGCTCTGTCCCCCCAGCCAGGGACACTGATGCTGCTGCTCCTCCTCAGGGCACCTCTGCCTGCAGGAGATTTGCTTTTCCTCACTCCTTCAGGGGGAAAAAGCAATTAAACAGTGATTGCTCTGGGCCATAAACCATGATGGCTTTTAAGCCCATTTGCTTTCAGGAATTGGCTGTTTTGAGGCTCTGCCTTCCTGGATTTCCCTTGAAGGACCCACAGAAACCACTGCCCTGAAAAATGAGTGTTGAGAAGGCTGCTCCCTCCTCTTCTATTTTCCAGTTCCTCAGGGGAACTGGGGCCAGGTGAGGCCCTTCCAGCCCCTCCTCAGAGCAGCTGGGAAATGTTTCTCCTTCACATCTTAAAAAGAGTGCCCAGCAGGAGAGATGGAGCTGCAGAGCATCTTTCACACAGGCAGACACTTTTCATTTGCAGATTAAAGAGTGGAGAAATTGCCACCTCCCCGGGGAACACAGCCCAACCTTTAATTAACCTCTCAGCTCCAAATCTGTCCCCTAATTTCCAGTTACTGCTAACGAGAGCTTTGCTGAGCTCCTCAGCCTGAGTCCTGCAGGGTGGCAGCTTTGAACAACTATCCCAGCCTGGGATAAACCCAGCTTCCCTTCCATCTCCCACTCTGGAATGCAGCCATGGGGATGGAGGAGCCCCTGCTGCAGATTTTAGGGGCTCTAAGGATGCAAAATGACCTCCACATGTGGTTTTACTCTTTTATCATTCTTTCCTATTCTATTCTTAGCCAGCCTTCTGAGGAAATCCTTTCTTCTATTCTTTTAGTATAGTTAGTTTAGTATAGTTTAGTTTAGTATGTATCTCCTCATCCTCTGAGAGGAGAATTTCCAGCATGTGGGAATGCTCCATGTGGGATATTACAGGGAGCTGGAGCTGGCTCACCTCTGGAACCAGCTGGAGCAAGGCAGCACATCTGGAACCAGCCCTGGGAGGAGGAGGCACCTCTGGCTGGCAGCAGCTTTGCTAGGAGGTGGTGGAGAGGAAAACCAAAACCCCCAGGGATATCAATTCCTTCATCCCAACACTGAGGGTTGGGCAGGAGGTAGGGACAAAGGGAATGCCAGAACAATCAGAACAATTCCCCCTGCTCTGGTCAGGCATGCTGCACCTGATTCCTGCAGGCTGCAGCTGATCTCTGCCCTGCAGGACGCCTCTGGAGGCCCAGGATTCCCAGGAGGTGCTGGTGACCCTCAGACAGTGGCTGAGCACCATCAAACATTGGCTCTGAGCACCTTGGTGCTGAAGATGTCCCTGCTCACTGCAGGGCAGCTGATTAGATGGGCTCCAAGGTCCCTTCAACCCAAACCATTGCATGATTTTCTGCTGGTGTTTAGCCAGGCTGCCCACCCAGCACAACAGCAGGGAGGGCAGGGAGGGCTCTGCCAGGCTCCAGCTCTGCTGCTGCCTCCAAAACCCCATCCCTGAGGTGTCTGTGGCACTCAGGTCCAGCTGGGTCTGGCTCAAGCCTTGTGTGCACTGCAGCACCAGGGGCTGGGGGAAGGAGCTGCTCTGTGCACAGGCAGGAGGAGCAGCAGGGCTGGGTGACACAGGTGGCCCTGCAGGAGCTGCCACACCCCTGGCAGCCCATCCATCCCTCCCCTGCCCACACCCCCTGCCCCAGGCCCTGCAGCCCTACCTCCATCAGGTCTATGAGCCACAGGAGCCGCTCCTGTGCCAGGGGAGAGCAGAGGGAAACAAGCACAAAAGGGAAAATGTGCCATCAGGGAGGGTGTAGAACAAAGGAGAGGGCTGAGCAAACCCTGGCACAGTGCTGTCCCCAAACCCAGCCCCAGAACCCAGTCTGGAACCCACACCCAGCATCCAACCCCAGAACCCAGCCCCAGAACCCAGCGCAGAACTCACACCCAGAATCCACCCCACGAGCCCACACCCCGAACCCACACCCAGAACTCACCCTCATAACCCAACCCCAGAACCCACATCCAGAACCTGCTCCAGAACCCAGCCCAGAACTCACACCCCAGAACCCACATCCAGAACTCATCCCAGAACCCAGCCCAGAACCCACCCCAGCTGCAGCCAGGGAGGGTTGGGAGGGCAGGAAGGAGCTCCTGCTCCCAGGGATGCTGGGGAGGGAACAGCAGCAGGAGCTGAGGGATCAGTTTGGGAGCCCTGCCCACATCTCCCCTGCTGTCCAAGCACCCATCCACCACAAGCTGGTGCTCTTTGCTTGGCAGCTGTTCCAGCAAGAGTGGGCACAGCCATGCTCAGTGGCAGCATTCCCATCCTCCTGGATGGAGGATTCCCATTCCTGGAGCAGGGTGTGCTCTCCCACCCTTGGGGATGGCTGCCACATGGCCAGGGAGGGCACAGGGGACACGTGCTCAGGAAGGAAGCTCTTAGAGCAGTGGTGCCCCACTGGTGTCCCTCCTTGAGCTCTGGGCTTGTGTGCCAGGTGGGGCTGGGTCACTGGTCACACACTGGCCCAGGCAGGCACGTCTGGCACGTATTGTGGAGCACGTGGCACAGCCCAAGGCATGGGCACAGCATTAGAACAGGGTGTTACACTCAGCACACAACCCTGGCAGACCTGTGCCAGCCCTCAGAAAAATTTTCCCAGCAGCTCCTTGGAGAGCAGAGCAAAACTCACTTTGTTTATGCAGATCCAGAAAGGATCTCACTGAAATCCCTCCTGACCTGAGCAGGGGTCTTTCCTGTGGGCACTAGTGGATTTAACAGGACAGAAGCACAGCTCTGATGCTCTGACAGTCTCTGAGGTCTCTCACAGGCAGGCAGAGCCCCAGGAAAGCCCCCTCCCCTCTCCCCCATGGGCTGTGCTGGGGGGACCCTCCCCAGCCCCATCTCAGCACCGTGGGCTGCTTTCCTTGCTGAGCACAGAGCCCATTGTTCCCCCTTCTTTCCATGAAGGGTTTAATTTCCAAGGTTACTAATGCATTTATGATGAAAGGCATTTTATGGCGAGGAAATTAATTTGGGGGCTGTGTGCCTGCACAGTCTGAGGTGATTACAGTAACTTAATTAGACGGTGCGTGCGACAGGGGCCTGGCAGAGACGTGGGAGTGATGCTGCTGAGTGCTGAGAGTGGGTGGCAATGGGATGCAGCTGCCTGGCCACTCTGGCTCCCACTGGGATGGGGAACAGGCAGCCAGCATCCTTAGGGAGTGATTTAGGAGCTGGTGAACAGCAGCAGGCAGGGCTGGGATTTCTGTGGGGACGCAGCTCCGGTGGATTTCTGGGAGCAAGGCAAGATGAGGCTCTGTCCCTCTCCGGGATGCAAGTGATGCCTCAGGTTTCAGCTTTTCTATTTCTCACATTCTGTGCTGCTTTAGTGAGTCTGAGCTTCATATGAGGGGATGGTGAGCTCTGTGCACAGAGCAGGGAGACAAAACAATTCCTGCTCCAGCTGGGCACCAAGGACAAATGATCCAAATCTCNGGTTCCTCTGGGAAGGAGGAGAGATCATCCTGCCAAAGCAAGCACAGATTGTTGGACACCATGGCCAGGCTCATTGTCAGTGCATGTTCATCTCCTCACACTGACCATGGCTGAAGAGATGGTTGTTATAGAAACACCTTCCTGAGCTGATGGTAATACACAAACATCTTCCTGACCCTACAGTGTCACACAAACACCTTCCTGACCTTTAAAGTGTCACACAAACACCTTCCTGACCCTCTGACAGTGTCACACAAACACCTTCCTGACCCTTTGACAATGAGAATTCAACTCACAAATGAGCACAGCTGCATAACACCTGATAGGCTTGTAATATATTGTAATTAAGAAATGCTTTTAATACATTGTAATTAAGAAATAGTTGGCTTTTGAATGTGATGATGCTAAGTATAACACCTGTATTGTCTCACCCTTCACACAGGAGTAAAAATGGAGTAATTTTTTTAAACTTTTATATTTTTTAATAATAAAGTATATAAATAGATAAAAATAGATAAAAATAATATATAAAATATATAATATATAATTATTAAAATATAAAAATAATACATAAAACATAAAACATTAAATATTATATATGTGTATATATACATATATAAAAATGTGTATATATATAAATAGGTATATATAAATATATCTTATATTTTATTTTACATATAAAAATAAAAATAAAATATAAAAATATATAAAAATAAATAAATAAATAAATAAATATATATAAAAAAAATCTATTTTATTCTCAGTTGCCCCATATCTGGGTCAGACAAGGGCCTAATCCAGCACAGAACATCCCCCACCCAAGTTTTCGTTGGTTGCACAAGGCTGCTGCTATCCATCCAGGCAGAATCCTTGTCCTGCCCCACCTGAGGAGCTGTGCTCAGTGACTCCCCTGGCCCAGCTGCTGCACTGGGGCACCACCCAGCACCCCCAGTTTGCCTCCTGCTCCCCCCAGCTGCGTGCAGCCTTACCAGGGACACATCTGGCAGGGTGTTGATGCTGCTCTGGTGGCAGTCCCCAGCTCCCTCCAGCTCTGACGTGTTCTGGGAGGACACAGAAGAAAAGAGCGCCATGGCACAGCAGCAGGAGAACAGCACAGTGCCAGGGGATGTGCAGAGGGATGCTCCAAACCCCTCCCCATGCAGGGCCAGCCTTACCCAGGGGGTTTTGCCTCTTTGGGGGTGCCCTTTTTGGGACACAGGCTGTCCCAAGCTAAGGGATGTGCTCAGAGCATGCTGTGGACCTGACACCTTGGGGTGTGCTCCTCTAACTTTAAATCAGCTGCTCCTGCTGAATTTGGAAGGAGGGAAGGGACCAGCCCTGATGGCTGCAGGTTCAATACCTGTTTTGGGTTTTTTTATCCCCAGAGGAAAGAAAACAGAAATTTAAAACTCTCCTCCCCNTCCAGGAACCCCCTGGGACCCCTTCCCTCTCCTCCTCCGAGAGATCACTGGATCCCCCTTCCCTTCAATCCTGGCATTCCAGAAGGCATCAAGTGATTGGCAGATGCCCTCTGCCCCTGGGGGGCATTGTGCCATCCAGGTGTCCTTTGTCCCTTTGTCCCTCCCCTCCTGTCCCTGCTTGGTGGCTTCGTACCCCTTCCCTGTCCCTCTCCCCGGGGTTCAAAGGAGGAGCCCCTGTTATGGGGGAAAGCTCCATCCACAGCTACCAGAGCTCCTGCAGGCCTGGACTTGTCTCCACGTGCCAACTGCAGCACCCAGCCAGCCCAAAGTGTCTGTGGGGTGAAACACCACAGTTGCTGCTATTTGTTCAGCACAAGCTCAGGCATGTCCCATCCTGATGTATTGGTAATTTGTCACAGACATCTTTTATGAAAAATCCTTTCCTTAGGATTTTTCCTCCTGAGAAGCTGAAAGGCCTCAGAAACAAAATGTAAACAATGATTATCTGCTGCTGTGAAATGCAACAGGTGCATCTGTGATTGGCCCATGTGGTTGTTTCTAATAAATGGACAATCACAGTCAGCTGGCTTGGACAGAGAGCCTGAGCCACAAACCTTTGTTATCATTCTTTCTTTTTCTATTCTTAGCTAGCCTTCTGATGAAATCCTTTCTTCTATTCTTTTAATGTAGTATATATAATAAATTAATAGTTTTAATGTAATATATATAATAAAATAATAAATCAGCCTTCTGAAACATGGAGTCAGATCCTCGTCCCTTCCCTCATACTCAGACCCCTGTGAACACTGTCACACATGATAATGTGGATTTCTCTCCCATTCCCTCCCCCTTTCCCAGAGCAGATCACCCTGGAGGCACAGGGCCCACATGGTGACAATGCCCACAGTGTGACAGTGACAGTGACTGCTCAGCCCAGCAGCTGTCCCTGCCCTGGGGAGGGCCTCACCTTGATGTGGGAACACTGTCACAGTAATTATTCCAACTCTGCCCCATTTATCTCCCTCCCAGCACCCCAGGGATGGTTTCCCCCAGCTGGGGAGGTGCCACCCACCTCTGGCCTGGGGCAGGGGCCTCACTTCGTTGACGTCGGGCTCGCTGTTGGGCTGGTGCACCTCCACCATGATGAAATGCTGGTTGCCCACGGCCGAGGGGCTGCCCTTGTCCGGGGGAGGNCCTTTGAGAGGGATTTCTGAGGGGAGGTCCTCAGTGTTTCCTCCCAGGCAGAGCTGGCACAGGGATATGGAACCAGACCAGACCCTGACTATCCCAGAGACAGAGGAGTTGAGGCTGGGGAACATGTTTTGCCAGCAAAGAGTGCAAAGCTGTTATCAGTGAGAGCCACCTGTGAAACCTCCCTGCTTAATTTCCATTTAAAAGCAATGTGCTTTGCAAGGAGGAGATGCTGGCACAGAGCTGCAGGCACAGCACAGGGTGAGCTGGGGAGGGCTGGCTCAGCTCTGCCTCGGGCTGGGACAGATCCCTGCAGCTCCCAGGACACACAGACAGCCACCATGAGGCCAGTCATGGTCACCTCTGCAGGGTGGAGGGGTCCCCATGGTCCTTGTCCATGGGTGATCATTGCCCCTTGCCCATGAAGGCTGGAGGGCACCAGGTGTGCTTTGAAGTGGCACAGGAGAGGGGACACCTCTGCGTCACACTGCAGAACACAGCATCGGGAGGAGAAAAGCCCGTTAAAATCCTAAACCAGCATCCCTGCTGTAACCAGGAGCATGGGTCTCTCCCTCCCATGGAAAATAAACCACAATATCAGTGATAATATCACAAGGATCAGGAATGTCTTACCCTGGCTGCCACATCCATGGCATGGTCACCCACGGCCCTGCGAGGAGGGAGAAGATCAGTTAGCCCTGAGTGACTGTCACAAGTTGGTCAGAGAGTGAAACAGATAACATTCCCAGGCATTGTTCTGGGAAAAGCTGTGAGAAGCTCAGAGAAAAAGAATTGAAACAATTCTTATGTTAAGTCTCTGCAGATGGTGTTTGTGAACATGTGGAACGTGTTCTACGTGATGTTTATGGAAAGATGGTGCTGCTGCTAATTAACAAATGGGGTGACAGGTGTTACTAGAACCAGTCAGGTTCTGGGTGAAAGATGTTGCCTATAAAAATGTGAAGTTTTGTAATAAAGGAGCTTTTATGCCTTCTGAAAATGCATAGAGTTGTGTCACCTACATTCCTGTTCCTCACTCAATGGTGACATCAGACAGCACAACCTTGTCCACACCTGGTCTACCCTACAGGCCAGAGATGCTTCCCTGATGCAGGAGCCAGACCCCAGAATGGGGAGTTCCATGGACAGGCTGGGGGTCCCCACCCTCCCAGGGGCTCTGAGCTGACAGACCCCCCCCAAAAGCCCCTGTCTTAGGTTGGAAATGGGGCTGTGTGTTCTATCCCCATCTGTCAGAGCTGGGGCAGTTCTCTGCTGTCCATGGGCAGTTGTTTCTTTCTCTCTCCCCCAGCCAACCCTCCCTCCAGGAGATCTCTGCTGTCCATGGCCACTGAGTGTCCCTGCAGGGCTGATCCCATTCCAGCATCCCATGGGGAGATGCTGCGCNCCAGCTGCACAGGGCATCAAAGGGACATGCAGCCCTTGAGCAGGGCACAGCAGCACCTCAGTGTCAGGGGCACAGAGACACCCAGAACCTCATGGCATCACCCACAAACCACCCAGAGTGCACAGAAAAACAACAGCCTTGGGGAACCCATGGGGGAAGCTGGACAGGGCCCCCTGTGGGGTGAAATGGCCTTGCAGCACTCTCTGCCCCATCAGACACTCCATGAAATGTAGGATAATCCAAATCATACTCTATGCCTTTCCATGAAAAACCCAAACATTATCTCCTAAAGGGATGTTATTTGGGCAGTACAGCCACCAGACACATTCATGTTTCAGGTACCACACAGCCCAGGGAAAGCAGTTTTCTGTAGTACTGCCAGGAGGAGGGGCTGGAAGGAAGGGATCAAGCAGGAGGGACCTACCCTGGCTGAGCTGACGGTGGTGGCAGTGAAGTGGCTGCTGGAGGACGAGACGGTGTCGCTGTAGGACATCATGGAATAGGAGTCGGGGCTGGGCCCCGCGGGCTGCCGGGCCTTCATGGACTCGATCTCCCTCTTGAGCACCAGGTTGTCAAAGCGGTCCAGGTCTTGTGGGGAGATCACCCCCCTCACCTCGGAGAGCAGCGAGAACTGGCCAGGCACACAGAGCCACAGCCAGGTTGGGGCACAGTCACATTCCTGGGGAGCTGGGGGCTCCCTCTCATCACGGTCAGCAGTGGCAATGGCAGGTGATAGAGGAGCTTTGGTCATAAATGATACCAGAAGCTCCTCTGCCACTGAACACCAGCCTGCATCCCCACAGGGTGCCCAGAGCAGCTGTGGCCGCCCCTGGATCCCTGGCAGTGCCCAAGGCCGGGACTTGGAGCACCCTGAGGTAGTGGAAGGTGTTCCTGCTCATGGCAGGTGTGGAACAAGGTGATTTTTACAGTCCCTTCCAACCCAGACCAGGGTGGGCTTCTGTGCTCGTTCCACGATTGTCACAGATACATTTTATGAAAAATCCTTTCCTTAGGATTTTTCCACCTGAGAAGCTGAGAAGTCTCAGGAACAAAATGTAAACAATGATTATCTGCTGCTGTGGAATGCAACAGGTGCATCTGGGATTGGCCCATGTTGGTTGTTTCTAATTAATGGCCAATCATAGTCAGCTGGCTTGAACTCTCTGAGCCACAAGCCTTTGTTATCATTCTTTCTTTTTCTATTCTTAGCTACCCTTCTGATGAAACCTTTTCTTCCATTTTTTAGTATAGTTTTAATGTAATATATATCATAAAATAATAAATCAAGCCTTCTGAAACATGGAGTCAGAACCTCATCTCTTCCCTCATCCTCGGACCCCTGTGAACACCGTCACACACACAATAATGTGGGTTTCTCTCCCATTCCCTCCCTTTCTCCCTGAGCAGATCACCCTGGAGGCACAGGGTCCACAGGGTGACAATGCCCACAGTGTGACAGTGACAGTGACTCTGCTCAGCCCAGCGCCCCCAGCAGCTGTCCCTGCCCTGGGGAGGGCCTCACCTTGGCGTGTGTGTTGAGCAGCTCGAAGAGGGCCATGACCAGAGCATCCACGGAGATGTTGCCCTCCTTGTACTCGTCCAGGTAGTAGCCCATGGTGGCTCTCTCCTGTTCGTTGAGGAGGTGCCGGGCCTGCTCCTCCAGCATCACGCGGCTCTGGTTCACCATGGTGCTCAGGGTCACCTGCGAGCCGGCCAGCCCCCGGTAGAACACGGGCTGCAG